ACATTCTCTGGAGTATACGTATGTGTGTACACGCACATGTATATGCATTTGTGTATGTATTTTTGCAAAAATGTAATTCTCTGCACACGTGTATAAACACGTACAGTCATGGGAGTGCCTCTGCATATGTGTACACAAATAAACATAAGCATATAAGCATATGAGAGGCTCTGTGGTGACTGGTTACAAATTACAACTTTGGGAAACAGGCAGGCTAGTGTTTAATCTCTGCTTTCACAATTCCATAGCTATGTGGTCTTGGCAAACTCAATTACTGTGAGTTATGACCTCACTTTTCTCTACTTGATAATATTAGGCAACTTTATTTTGCTTAGAGGAATCGTGTGAGAATTTAATAAGGAAATGTATACAGGAGTTCATACCATCCTACACACACATGTATCATGTATGTATCTGTCATCCATCCACAGAGATGCATATACTTTAGTAATCAAAATCATGTTATAATTGTAGAATGCATAATTTTAAGATAAAAAAAAACTTGAAAAAGCACAATTTCTTTAGAAAAGCATTTTATAACCCAGGGGAAGTTCTTAAACTAGCTTCATGGGCAATTGTTTTTCTCATTCCAATTAATGAACTGTTTTACATGAAACACAATTTCCTGCCACAAGCAAATTTTTACTGTTTAGTATGTCAAATTCTTCCCCATTATACCACCAGTATTGGTTTCATTCAAATAGATTCTGACATTCAGATTCTTACATTGCATGCATAAAATTAAAGTCCAGTATATTCTAAGATGGGAACCTTAGAAAGATGAGGGATAAGCTGAGTGTGTAAAATCAGCATCTTATGATCAAAATATATGACTATCTATATTTGTCGTTGAAATTTTTCCCTTTTCATCTACTATGTCAGCAACTATTTTTAAAGAAATTTTGAAAATAATAGTATCTTACCATTTACCAGTTTTGCCTTAGGCAAGAATCCAGTGTAACCTTCCTTCTACCTCACCAGATATAAATATCCATGTCAAAATATGAATATTATTTTAATTCTTATTGCTTTAAAATATCTACTTTCTCATAGATAAGAAGCCTTTGCCAATTCTTCAAAGAAAATTAGGTTCCCAATCAATGGGATGGCCCTATACTTTTGAAAAATGTTCCATACAAGGAAACTACTGATTCTAGTGAATACACATTGTATACATTAATCTGAATCACAGAGTTGGTTATTTTCTACCCAAATGTAAATGGTATTGTATAATAAAAATCCGATCTCACACAAAATACAGAATTATAAAAAATACAGCCAATGTCCAAGAAAACTTATTTTACCTGCAAAAATATCTAAAAAGTCAACCTAACTATGGTAAATAATTTGTGAAAACTATATGTTAAAAATTTAATCAAGAAAAAAAAGTCAAACAGCAACAAATAAAAATTAGGAAATAGTCAATAAAACATTTGAATGATTACCAGAACAAAGCCAAAATATAGTAACACAAGAAAAGTCATTTAAAAATAAATCAGACATCAGATGAAATAACTAAAATGTCAGGTTGAGGAGTTTTCATGATATATTCATAAGCATTTCTAACATTTAATTTACTTTTTCACAAATAAGAAAAAACATTAAAAATAGAGGAATCTTAAAGAAAAAGAAAGAAAGAAAGAAAAGGAAGAAAGAAAGAGGCATCTCCTTTCAAAAAGTGAAAAAAAAATAAAAATAAAAAGAGTGACAGGTGTTTTGGGGCCAGGTCTAGATTTTCACATCACCAACTTCATTTGTTCTCCCTGTGCTCAAGTAAAGTGAGGCCCACACCTTGTCATGGGTGCTGTCATTACATAATATTTTTCATGCCTTGACATGTCAATTTTATGATCTCCTAAATGATATTTTTCTTAAGTCATACATAATCTTGATGAAATAAGTAAAGCAGGCTTTTTTTTTGGTATTTTTAACTTTTAGCAAACTAAAGTTGGCAAATAGAAATATATGAATAATTGTTCTTTACATACATAATACTTCAATATTAGGCAAATATAGAAGGTGTGATAGTAATCCATGTCATGGTAAATTATCTGTTCATGGTAAATTATGTGTAGTCTCAAAGTTTTCTGTTATAAATTTACCAAAAAATATGCAAATTATTTAGTTTACTAAAAAGAAAAATGTTCAATGATGAAACTAGCAAATGTAATGTTACAAAATACCCTATGAATTTGGTAGCTTTAATTTTATTCTGCATGCATGTTTTGCAATATGTTGATTTTACTGACAGGCTATAAATTTACTAAGATCCTGAAAGTCTCCATATTTAGAGAGTCAATTACTGTAGATGAGAGATGTTACTGTGAAATTTATAAATATTTCTGTTTAATTTCCAGGGTTAAATTCAATGACTGAACGCATTAATTAGAATTTTTAAATTATTGTTTTCATACTCATTATGTAGTATAATATTTCCATGCATGAATAATAATTTATGTAAATAGTGCCTATTCCAAATTACTGCCAGAAAACTTCAAAGTTCAGCGCCTGGATTAAACTTCTTATCAAGGTTATCATGTTTAGACAGACTTTAAAAGTTTGAAAGATTTTCTTCAATGTAAGCAAATGCACTTAAATTAAAAATTTGAACATCAATCTGGTAATATTAAATAAATTATAATTTTAACCTGAAAAAGCAGTACTAATTTAAGACTATAAAATATTATTTTTTGAACAAGCTGATCTACTGTTTAATATCTAAATTAAATTAAATTTCCTTTAGAGGTCTTGGATAAAACATCAGAATTTTATTATATTACTTGGTTTATATTAATTACTTGATGGACAGTGTCATCAAAATAAAAAAACTCCTGGGAAACAGGGAAATCTGAATCCTTTAGAGGATTCAGTGTTCTGCTTCCCCCCAAAAATTTACATAATTTTCTGACCTTTATCATTGGTTCTGCTTTATATTTTATATGAGTGAGTATGTGTGAATATATATGCAGTATTTTTCACAAAATCTCACTTTTTTCAGTGACATTGCCTATAGCTATACCTAACTTTCTATGCAAATTAGACTTGATAAATCAGCCAGTGCTTGCACTGAAAGCTTTACTCTCTTTTGAATAAATTCTCCAGTCCTTAATCCTCTGTTGAGACCACAGTTGGCCTTATTTCTCCAGATAGTACACATTGATTTTCTCAGGAAACCTTTAAGCTAATGGAGAAATATTTACAAAATAGAGATATTAAATATTACATACAATTTTGTTTTTGCTGACAAAGCAGTTTTTAATTCCATTCAAAAGGCTTCTATCCAGTTGTAAATATCAGACTATATTACAATGTCGTTATTTAAAATATAAATTTCAAAAAGAACATGCCTACATATCAGCAATTTTACAATGCACATTACACTTAACTCCTGGTCTACTTTTCTCATTTTTAAAAATAATGCATAAATATTTTTTTCCAAAAGAGACAATCTCACCAATCGTGTGTCATATACCATCATGACAACCAGTGATTGCAGCAGAAAGAGTGGATAGAATTACTCATGAGGCAATCATTCAACATCAACCAAGTCTACACAACATTTATCTTAGGAAATTGAGCAAAATGTAACAAACATTCAAGTATCAACTTTGTCAAAAAAGAGAGGGAAATTGCCAAAATTCCTAAAATATTGAAGCATTATCAACCATCTGAGCAAATATCAGCTATGTTGACTGGACAAATGATACTTCAAGGGGAGCAAGGATAGGGTGCCTTAGAAACACTTTTGCAAGGCTGAGCAAAAGAATTACGTGAAGTTAGCATATGCAGAAGGGGCAGGTATATACAAATTTTAAAGCTAATAGCACCTATTAATCTTCAGTTAGCTTGTTACTCTCCAAAGATTAGGTTATTCCCAGATGGTAATAGACTTAAATACCTTCAAGTATATTAAATATCCTGATGCTGGTTTGTATATAAATACAGTGGCCTGACAGACATTGGAGTCAGAAGAGTAAACAATCCTAAACATCACTTCACCCAAGACTTGAAATAAAAAGATAAATTGATCAGTGCAAAGAACACTCTACCCTTAGGTTTCCACAAAGAATGATTTTTCCGCAAGTGGTATTCCAAGACAGGTATAGATGTGACTTAATTCAGAACAAGATCCTAAGTTACCGAGGTTAAAAACAGGGATTGGCTTCTACACCTACCTACAGTCTATTTTCAATTCACGGGCTCTGGCATTTATTTATGTCAAAAATAATAGTCTTTGTATTACACATGAAAGAAAATTTTAACTATCTTTGTAAAACAAGATGAAAACAGACGCACCTCAGCATTGAGAGAATTAGTACAGTCTTTTCTTAAAACTGAATTCCCAAAAGGAAATCATCTTTATTCCTTCCTCTCTCAAGGATATATTCCCTTTCCTCTTTTTTTTTTTAATTTTTGCCCCTAAATTCAACAATAGTACAACAATATCAAGATTCCAAAGGATACCTAGGCACAGAATCTGAAAGCGCAAACAAACTCCAGATGCCTTACACCAACCAAACAGTCAAACCAAAACAATCTTCTCAATTAAAAGTTTCAGCTTTTGCAAGAAAAACTCACATAATGGTACTCTCTTTCCTTAAGCACTAGCCATAGTATTGTCCAGTGAAAACCTTAAGAATTAAATTCTTTAAACACTTCTGAGTTAAAAGTGAATATTTCCCAGAAAAGCAGTGCTGTGAATTAGTAATCAAAAATTTCAAAACTTCTCTGTGCCACGTCAAGGGAGAAACCACTTCTCCAACTCAAAAGAGTAACTTCCCATAAAGGAAAATCATAAATGCGTGTTTTGCGCTGGACAGTTGGGCACTTATAGTAGGCAATGTTCTGCAATCATCAATATATTACACAAAACCAAATGTTTATGACATCAAACCACCTCTGAAATAGCAGCTTGTGTTTGCATCAAGATCTTTAGCCCCCAGTAGCAAGAAGAAGACCGACTGGACGGTAGGTGTGTGCAGAGCACTGTAATGTCCTACCTTCGTACAGGGCTTTGAAGCCTTGGGCGCTCACCGCGAAGTCGGTTGTGAACCACAGCGTGAGGATAGATCCCGTGCTGACTATGGAGGACGGCAACTGGAACCCCGATAATCTAAACCATGAAAAAAACACATGAACAGAGTTAAAAAGTCAAATTTTTTTATTCAAGCTTATTTGATGAAGTCACTCCATTTCCCTTTTCCTGTGGTACGTTTATCTGAGATGTGTCACTAAACAATTTACATGATCCACACTCAAGGTGTTGCCAGGTAATTGAAATTAAACATGCTTAAGTAACCACGTATTTAAACAAATTTTGAGAAAATTCTATTTAAAGAAATTGCGTCATACACCATTGCATGAAGCAGGGGACATGGAGCTTAATGCAAAGTGATCCTCATACATGCTATGTGGAAAAAAATGTGATTTTACATGTACTTTGATTTATTATTGTCTTCCTAAACTATCAGATGGTCAGTTGTCACAACTCATAGTTAATGTGCTGATTCTCATTATCAAACCCAAATAAATCCTAGCTTTCTTGAAAAGAAAACATATACTAGTCACAACATAATAAGCAAATAACCCCTAGCGGAGGTCAAATGAATTGATTTTAATGTTTGGCTTTCAAGACAAGCCTTTGGGTTCTCAGATGTGTTTTACATCTATCACTAGGTTTAGATATATTTAGAAATTTTACTGATGATAAAGTCAGCAGTCTGAATGAGTGAACTCGGATAATAATATAGACTTTATGCATAATGCTTTCTAGAGTAAGCTTTCCACAAGGTCAAATAAATGCTTTGTTAATTTATATTTTACCTAAAGTTTGCTAATTAAGTGGGTTATCTCTAGATACATGATTTAGTATAGTCTGAACAGAAATCTCTGATTCCAAAAGCAGTAAGTCTGAATGTTCATCCCTTGTAGAGAAATTCTGGTTTGCCAGTAAGTCTATGGTGTTAAATACCCAATTCCAGCTGCTGTAGGTTTCAGAATCAAACTAGAAACTCCTAGGAGAAAAATGACAGGCCCATCACCAATCACCGAACAGCACACTTCTAAGTATCCGTGGATCAAAGAGGAACTCTTAAGGGAAATGAAGAAAAAATACATTGAAATGAGTAAAGATAAAAACACAAGATATCAAAAGTTAGAGGATCCAGCTAGGCAGTACAGAGAAGGAAGTTAATAGTATTAAAAATACACATTATAAAAGAGGAGAACTCTCATATTAACAACCCAAACTCCCATCTGAAGGACTTAGAAAAGGAAGAGTAAAATAAACCTAAAGCAAAGAGAAGGCAACTAATATAAGTAAATAATAATAAATAATAGTAATAATAAAATAAATAACAGAATAAATAATAATAATATAAGAGAAATCAAAGAAATTTAAAATAGAAGAACACAAGAGAAAAACAGTGAAACAGAAGCTAATTCTTTGAAAAGATCCACAAAACCAACAAACATCCAGCAACACGGACACAAAAAGTGAGGGAGGTAGAAGATACAAATACCTAATATCAGGAATAAAACAGCAAATATTACTAGAGACCCCACAGATATAAAGTAAAAAGGGAAAACTACAAAGAAAATGCATATATAAGTTTAATGACTTTCATGAAACAGGCTGCTTCCTTAAAAAAGCACAAACTAACACAACTTACTGAATATAAAATAGAACATTTGAACAGCCTTATAACTATCAAAACTTTCCTAAAAGCATCTCCAAGTCCAAGTGGTTTTAAAGGCGAAATCTCCTGATGTAGACAGAATGTTTGTTCCCCAAAAGTCGTTAAGTTGTAACCGAACCCCCAAGGTGATGATGTTTAGAGTGGGGCCTTTGGTTTGTAATCAGATCCTGAGGGCAGAGCCCCCATAAATGGGACTAGCACCCTTATCAAAAGGATTCCAGAACATCCCCCGCCCCTTCTGCCATGTGAGGAGCAAGACAACAGGAAGGTGCTGACTCCGTAACAGAACACCTTCACAGCAGACACCGATCAGCTGGCACCATGATCTTGGACTTCCCGGGCTCAAGAACTGTGAGAAGTAAATCTGTGTTGTTTAGAAGCCACTTGGTCTATGCTATTCTGCTATATACACTTAGACAGCCACCCGAATGCACTAAGACATCTACCAAGCATTTGAAAAAATGGATCTCAGTTTTTCAGTCTCTTCCAGAAAGTAGAAGCAGTTGGACAGCCTCCTTATGTATTTTATAACACTACAGTTACCCTACACTGTGGACTGAATTATTGCCTCCGAATTCATATATTGAACCCTTACCTCTCAATGTAGCTGTATGTAGAGACAGGGCTTTTAGGTGATAATTAAGATAAAATAAGATCCTAGCCTGAGGTGCTAATCTGATAGGATTAGTGGCTTCATAAGTGGAACAGAAAGAGAAACAGACTCCCTCCCCGCCCCAACCCCTCCTGCTCCCAACATGCATTCACTGAGCAGAAGCCATATGAGCAATGGTGAGAAGCAGGCAGGTGTCTGTAAGCCAGGGAGAGTCCTCGCCAGAGCCTGATTTCTGATATGAGGTATCAACATCCAGAACTATGAGAAAATATAGCTCGGCTGTTTAAGCTGCCCAGTGTATGATATTTCACTGTGGCAGCCCAAGATAAGATACCCTGATACCAAAACCAGACAAAAACTTTGCAAGAGAAGAAAACAACAAACTAATAATAGTTCTCATATATATGGATATAAAAAATTTTAGCAGAAAAAAAATTAACAGAGTAAAAGCAAACAGAATAAAAATATAACAAAGATTCTCCAACATGACTAAGTGGTGTTTATTCCAGGAATGTAAAAATGGTTCAATATCTGAAAATCAATCAATATAATCAGCCATCACAACAGCCTAAAGAATAAAATCACAAGATCATGATAATCTATGTAGAAAGAGAAAAAAAAATTGCACATATGTAAATATCCAATCATGAGAAAACTTTCCAGTAAAATATAAATAGATGAAAACTTCCCCAACTTAATAATAGGTATCTTAAAAATCTACACCTAACATGGCATTTGATGGTATAAGACTGGATGCTTTCCCCTAAGACTGAGAGAACAAGGCAAAAATGTCTGATCTCACCACTTTTATTCAACATTGTGCTGGAAGATCCAGCCAGAGCAGTAAGCCAAGAAGAGAAAACAAATGCATATGGATTAGGATGCAAGAAATAAAATTGCCCCCTCTTTGCAGATGACACAATTATCTCCATAGATAATGCCAAGGAGTCTAGATGAAAACTCCTGGAGCTAATACTTGAAATGAGCAAGGATACACAGTGAACATACAAAATTCAATTGCATTTATGCATACTAGCATTGAACACATGGATACCAAAATTAAATATAACAATGTCACTTGTAATCATTTTTTAAATGCTTAGCTGTAACAAAACAGATAGAAAATATGCCCTCAAAACTGTGCTATGCTGAGGAAAGAAATCAGTAAGCAACTAAATAAGTGGAGAAATATACCATGCTAACAAATTGGAAACCTCAATACTGTGAAGATATCAATTCTCCTTAAATTTATATGCAGGTTTAATTTTATTTCTATCTAAATACCAACAAGATATTTTGAAAGTACAGGCAAGATTCAACTAAAACATGCATATTTAGGAGAAAGCCTTCAAGCCCTAATAGAATAGCTTAAATAATTTCAAAAAAAAAGAATAAAATAATTCAGGCTATTCACTTTCAAGAATTATTTTATAAATACAGTAATCAAGATCATGTGGCAAATTAACAGATCTATGCATCAATGGATGAGAACAGAGAACCCCAAAACAGACCCACATAAACACGTCCAACTGATCCGAAGGTGCTAAGGCAACTCAGTGGAGTAAAGGTGATCTGTTGACAATGATGTTGGAACAACGGATGTCCACAGGCAAAAACAACAAAAATGAGCCTATACCAAAATCTAAACTCTATCTAATAATTAACTCAATATGGATATAAATTTAAAACTATAAAAATTTTAGAACGTTATGTATTTATATAAAGTATAAATATATTTATATATTTATATAGATATAAATTTAAAACTATAAAAATTTTAGAAAAAACATAGAGGAACATCTATGGCTAACTGAAGGATTCCTAGACTGGACACCAAAAGCATAATTTATAAAGGAAATTGACATGTCAGACTTCATAAAAATAAAAAAAAATTGTGAAAGACCCCACTGAGAGGGTGAAAAGACATACTACACACTGGTAGGAAATATTTGCAAACAATGTATCTGACAAAGGATAACTGTCTAGGATATATAAAGAACATTAAAGACTCAATAGTGAAGGAACAAACAATCCAATCAGAAAACAGGCAAAAGATATGAGGAGTCATTTCATTAAAAGGATATAGAGATGGCAAATATGTATATGAAAAGATTCTCAACATTACTAGTCATTGGAGAGATACACATTAAAGCCACAAAGAAATATCAGTGCAAACACATGCGGAATGGTCAAAACCAAAAGCAGTGACAATATCAAAGCTGGAAAGAATGTGGAGAAAATGGGTTGTTCCTACATCGTTAGTGGGTACAACCACTCTGGAAAATAGTTTGACAGTTTCTTAAAAAAATAAATATATAACAACCAAGCAATTGCTCTCCTAGACATTTACCCCAGAGAAATGAAGATGTGTGGTCATACAAAACATGCACACAAATGTCTATAGCAGTTTTGTTCTTAATAATAAAAAATTGGGAGCTGTGGTAACTAAAACAGTATGGTCCTGGTACAAAAATACACGCATAAATAGATGGAATGAAGTAGCGCAGAAATACCCTCACAATTATATGGAAAATTAATCTTCAGCAAAGGACGCAAGATTATACGCTGGGGAAAAGACAGTCTCTTCAATAAATGGTGTTGGGGAAAACTGAACAACTACATGTAAAAATAAAACTGGACCACTTTCCTATGCCACATACAAAAATAAACTTAAAAGGATAAAAGATCTAAATGCGAGACTTGAAATCATAAAACTCCTAGAAAAAAACATTGACAGTAATCTCTCTGACATGGGCCATAGCAACATTTTTTTCTAGATATGTCTCCTAAGGCAAGGGAAAC